TGGGGACATTGGGGGGGCTTTGGGGACATTGCGGGGATTTGGGGACATTGGGGGGGCTTTGGGGACATTGGGGGGGATTTGGGGACACTCGATGGGGCTTTGGGGACATTGGGGGATGGGGATAAAGGGGACACTGAGGGACAAATCCGACACGAGGGGACATCGGGGGGGACACGGGCGGGTGTCCCTGTCCCCGTGTCCCCCTGTCCGTGTCCCCCTCCCCACCCGTGTCCCCCCCCCCAGGTCCCACCGAGCCCCTCCCGGTCCCCGAGCCTTGGGGACAGGCGGTGACGTCACTGCTGCGCTCGCTGCTGCCCGCGGGGACACCGAGGGGACACGAGGGGACACCGAGGGGACACGAGGGGACACCGAGGGGACAGGAGGGGACCCGGCCCCGCGAGCCCGGCCCGTGGCTCCAGGGCCACCCCCAACGTCCCCAAGCGCCGCGGGGACCTTGGGGACACCCCCGAGCTCCGGCGGGACCCTGGGGACGTCCCCAAGGAGCGGCGACGTGTCCCCAGGAGGGGGAGGGGACAGCGGGGACACGGCCCCAGGGACAGGGGACAGCGGGGACAGGTCCCCAAGGAGCGGGGACAATGGGACAGGGACAGGGGACAGGTCCCCAAGGACAGGGGACAGGTCCCCAGTGGCCGCTGCCACCTCCCCGAGGTCGCCAAGGGGAGGGGACGCGTCCTCAGGGCCACCGCCCCCGGCAGGAGTGGCCGAGGGTGGCGGCCCTTGGGGACATCGGGAGCCGCGACGCGTCCAGGGACAGCGAGGACAGCGGCGGTGAGGGGACAGGAGGGGACACAGGGGACATTGGGGACAGCGGGGACACGGGCAGGGGTCCCCATGTCCCCAAGGGCCCCGTGTCCCCGCTGTCCCCTCACCGTGTCCCCTCCGCAGGTTGGGGACACTCGGAGGAGCTGCGGGAGCGGCTGTAGCGCGGGGACATCTCCTGTCACCTCCTGTCACCTCCTGTCCCCATCACCGTGTCACCCTGTCCCTGTCCCCTCCTGTGTCCCCGTCACTGTCACCGTGTCCCCTCCTGTCCCCCCGGCCCAGGTGTCACCTCCTGTCCCTGTCCCTGTCCCCGTGTCCTCCTGGAGCCACCAGGTCCCTGTCCCCTCCTGTCCCCGTGTCCCCTCCTGTCCCCGGGCCACCGTGTCCCTGTCCCCGATGTCCCCCCGATGTCCCCTCCCGTGTCCCTGTCCCCGATGTCCCCTCCTGTCCCCAATAAAGTGGAGCAGCAGCAGCGCCCCCCGCTCGTGCCTTGGGGACACCGTGGGGGGGTTGGGGACACCTCGGGGACACCTCGGGGACACCTCGGGGACACCCCGGGCCGGGCGGTGACGTCATCGCGGCGAGGTTGCCATGGTGACTCCGGCGGGGGACACAAAACGGGAAAAAAAACCCCGAAAACGCCTCAAAACGGCCCAAAAACGGCGCAGAATCGGGAAAAAAATCAGCGGAGATGGAACGGAATCGGCCACCCCCAAATCGGCCCAAATATCACCCAAAAATCGGCCAAAAATCACCCAAATATCACCCAAAAATCACCCAAATATCACCCAAAAATCGGCCAAAAATCACCCAAAAATCACCCAAATATCACCCAAAAATCACCCAAAAATCGGCCAAAAATCGGCCAAAAATCACCCAAAATCCGCCCAAAAAACACCCAAAAATCACCCAAAATCCGCCCAAAAATCACCCAAAATCCGCCCAAAAATCACCCAAAATCCGCCCCAAAATCACCCAAAAATCATCCAAAAATCGGACAAATAATCGGCCAAAAATCACCCAAAAACCGCCCAAAAATCACCCAAAAATCGGCCCAAATCCGCTCAAAAATCACCCAAAAATCGGCCAAAAAATCACCCAAAATCCGCCCAAAAATCACCCAAAAATCGGCCAAAAATCACCTCAAAATCACCCAAAAATCGGCCAAAAATCACCCAAAAATATCCCGAAAATTGCCAAAAAATCACTCAAAAATCACTCAAAAATTACCCAAAAATCACTCAAAAATCCCGACAATTGCTCAAAAATCACTCAAAAATCGGCCAAAAACCGCCCCAAAACCGCTCAAAAATCACCCAAAAAAATCCCAAAAATTGCCCCAAACTCTTCCCTAAATCCCCCCAAATCCCCCCGGCTCTCCCCAGCCGCGATTTTTGGGTGTTGAACAAATTTTTGGGTCCCTGGAGGTTTTTTTCGGGATTATTTTTTGTCGCTCCGGGTGATTTTGGGGGGGCTTA